CAACTCCAAGATCTCTCTCTTGATCAGTCTCTGCCAGTTCAGACCCCATCAACGTGTATTTATATTGAGGATTTTTGGCTCCAATGTGCATCACCTTGCACTTGGCCACATTGAACCCCATTTGCCATGATTGATGAGAAATTCATCCCCACCCCCCCGGCCACTGGTGGTGATCATGGTGATTTTGCAATGAGCAGAATCTGATGCCTCTGTGCGTTTGGCCACATGGGAAGATTAGTTTTCAAGATTTGCTGAGTGCATGGACAGGGCTCTTTTAAAACTGTTAATGAGTTACAGTTGAGGGGTGAGCTCCACTATGTCCCCCCTTCAGTCCTTTAACAAGTTTTCTTTTTGGTAGGGAGGAGGCAGCAATATTCTGATCACATCAATGCTTCGGTGCCAGTGCAGCAGAAATACAGGGCAAGGACAACAGTGAGTGGCATGAGGACAGGTGCTGCACCTGCCTGTACCCTGCTTTGCTGCTGCTTCCACAGAGGAGGCAGCTATCATGAATTGAGTTGCCACAGCAAACAGTTTCAGGAGCGAGTGCTCAGCAAGGTTCCCTAGGGTACAATATTCTCTCAAGCTTCTGTGTCCACTAGTTTGATTTATTTTCTTTCAAAATATATACGCCCACCTTTGTCTTAAAATTGGGACCTAAGGTAGGTCCCAAATGGGCAACCACTGGTTTCCCCTGACCTTTGCCCTTTGCCTGGGCAACAGTCAGCTTGATCTTACATTGCCTGGCTGCTGTACCTGGCTCCTGAAAGGTCTTACTACATTTGCTGCATCCCTGCTCACTCACTTACTGGATTTCCCTTCAGGCCTAGGGTTGCCAAGTCATTGCAGTTGCCGCAACGGGGGACTCCCGTGCGGCAACTGGAGCGCACGCGCCGCATGCACATCACCCGGAAGTGACGTTAGGACGCCGGGCATGCTGGGGGCGGGGCCACGACCATCGGAGGGAAAACCATAGAGTTTTCCCTCCAATGTTCATGGCCCCACCCCCAGCGTGCTCGGCGTCCTAACGTCACTTCCTAGTGACGCGCACGTCGGGGTGGGGTTCCCCCCGGGGCCCGATCCGCCGGCCCCGGGGGGACTTGGCAGCCCTATTCAGGCCCTATTCTTGGGGATTTATGCACTCATCTTTCCTGCTGGCTATCTAAGGCTGCTTAAGGCCCAGCATAAAAATGTTAATTCTCCCATAGTTTAAAATAAGCAAAATAAGCATAGTTTAAAATAAGTACAAATTTCCAAATGTCGTATAGGATGCATGATAGCCATGGATTCAGTAAATGTTTCTCCATGCAGTTTCACAGCAATAGCACAGTTACCTGAAACTATGTTGCCTAGAAGTCTATAGCAGGATATGTCCAGTGGAAGAAGCTTAAGCAGAACTGCAGGTGGTCTTTGGAGCCGAAGTTTCTTAGGGTATATTTATAAATCAAAGAAATCTTTGAATACTTGAGAGATTGACCATGTAGAAAACATTAATTTCTCTCTGCTTCAGAAGGAGGCAGAAAAATTCTTTCTCATCCTGTTTGATGGGGACTGCCAAGTGCTAAACAAAATGTAGGAAGTGTCATGGTTCAGTGGTAGAACATCCAGTTTTCATGCAGAAGATCCCAGGTTCAATCCCTGGCATCTCTCAGTTAAAAGGATCAGGTAGCAGGTGATATGAAAGACCTCTGCCCAAGACCCTAAAAAACCTCTGCCAGTCAGAGTAGACATTGTTGTTGTTCAGTCGCACAGTCGAGTCCAACTCTTTGCGACCCCATGGACTACATCACACCAGGCCCTCCTGTCTTCCGTCGTGCTCCGGAGTTTGCTTAATTTCATGTTTGTTCCCTCAATAACACTGTCTAACCATCTCATCCTTTGCTGTACCCTTCTTCTTTGACCTTCAATCTTTCCCAGCATCAGGGTCTTATCCAGTGAGTGCTCCTTCTCATTTGGTGGCCAAAGTATTTGAGCCTCAGAGAGTAGGCAGTATTAACCTTCATAGACCAGTGGTCTGACTCATTATCAAGAGTTTCATGTGATGGGTGAAATATCTCTTTGCAGGAAGAGATGCTAACAAGGAAGGATTCAATTTTACCCTGAAGAGACGAATAGGTAGTAGGCATCACCACCCATTTCTTCTCTCGACCACTGTCAGAGTCCATCTGTTTTTTCTCCATGTTCTTACTTGTCTCTGAGATTTGGTTCTCATTAGGTCTCACAAGCCAGCACTCAGACGCTATGACTCTCCCTTGCTCCTTTTGGGATAATTTGTCCCATATGTGTGCTTGGATGCCTGCTCTCTTGTGTTGCCAGCTAGTGAGCTTTTGGGATAAGCTTGCCCAATTAGCTTTTTCTCTGCGTTCTTTGCAAGTTCTTTAACATGGCTGAACCCTAAGATGTTCCAGAAATGGCAAATGGTTCCATAAAACTGTCCACCCATTGCTGTTATGAACTTTGCTTCTCTGTGTCCCTTTTTCTGAGGGAACTGTACTGGAAGCCTCTGCAGGTTTATTTGATGGTGATTCCAGAATAGGCCATGTATCCAAGACAGAATGAGTGGGTCCTTAACCCGTAATCATCTTCATGGTGCTACTGGGGATTCTATTAATGAATTGTTTGGTATTTTTTCCTTTTAAAAATCTGGCACTTAGGGCCCCAACAGGATCATGATTGTGGTGTGGAGGAGGAGCATTTTAAGCCTTCCCTTCTGAGCCATTTTTCTGACCTGGAATGATTACACAGAGCCTGTTTATCTCAATGAGGTGACATACAGTTCCGTATTGGGACCTGTGTTTTTGCCCCAGCAGAGCAAATAGCAGCTCTGTTGGGCCAGTCCAGATTGGAAACATGGCACTGGGAGAAGATTTAACCCCTCTTCTTTCCTGTGCCATGATCTTGATCAGGATCAGGTTCTCATGGGTTTTTAAAAAGAAAATGTGCTTTGGAGCTCATTCACACAACTGGTGTCACATGCTGTTCATATCTGGCTACCCAAATTAATATTGAATCTTTGATTTACTGCCCCTAAGCTAACTCAAGGTACCTCTGAACTTTGTTTCCATCTAATTTCTTCCTGAAAGCAGGGATTTGATTTGTCAAATCTTTCTTGGGTTAGTCTAATTCTGTGTACAGCTATTCCAGTCTAAACTGATTGAAATAAATGGGGTTTAAGAACATAAGAACATAAGAGATGCCAATGTTGGATCAGGCTAAAGGCCCATCCAGTCCAACACACAGTGGCCAGAAATACCAGTGCCATGAGGAGGTCCACCAGTGGGGCCAGGACATTAGAATCCCTCCCACTGTTGACCCCCCCCCAAGCACCAAGATGACAGAGCATCACTTGCCCCAATCTATACCTTGTGGCTAATAGCCACTGATGGACCTCTGAAGTCACTCTGAATAGGATTGTACTGTTTGTTACACTTCATAATCATAAGCATGCCAGAACTGTACAGTGTCTTTCTTTAGTTTTTACAACATTATTTGGTCTCAAGTCAGCAAATTACTTTCAATATGGCAAATTTTAAAAAGGGTTTTGTGATTTGGCACTAACAATCATTTAGCAAAATCTTTGATAAAACTCTTGAATATATATCTTTATCTACTGTAGGTCATGTCCTTACTATCTGTAAGTCAGTGTTCCCAGGCATCAGTCCAGATATCTGGAACATATGCTTCAGAGGGAAGATGCATGTTAGTATGTTCAGTAAAGCACTGGAAACAGACTTCGAAGAACTCATATCTTCCCTGGAAAATAGATAAGAGGGTCCCTGGTTTAATTGTAGTTAAGCTTACTTGGGAAAAGAACTTACTTAAGAAATGAGGAACCTCATAGAGGTTAGCTTGCCTATATTAAATTTAACCATTTAGATATGTCATGTATATTCTGCTAGAGTAGTTTATTAACTGGAGATTACCAGGCAAAAGGTTCCCTAATAAGGGATCCTTAGAGGCTTTGTGTCACTATAGAATGTATTCTGATTACTGCTTAACAAGACAGACTGATTGGTGATTCCTTTTATTTTAGCTGAGGTTTTACAGTGCCTTTTTCTCTGCTGTTCTGAACAGTTAAACCTGTTTTATATATGACCCAAATATAGTTCACCTTTGCACTACATCTTTTGAGATACTGAGATAAATAAGATTTTTTCCTGTAACTGAATCATGTATGAAATATTGTTTTATTGTTTTAAATTTTAAATTCGGCATTGCCGCTTGTTAGCCGCCCTGAGCCGCTGGGTAGGGCGGGATATAAATCCCAAAATAAATAAATAAATAAAATAGAATACAGCTAACATGAGAATGTACTATATTTACTCGAATAGAAGATGACCCTGATTTTAAGATGATCCCTTTAAAATTGTTATACACCCCCCCAAAAAAAATTATTATTCAGCATAACTATAAATATAAGACAGCCCCTCTTTTTGATGGCATACCTGTGGGGGGAAAACTAGTCTTGCATTTGAGTAAATAGTGTAAATTAAATATTGTATGTAGGAGAATAAAACAACATATGGGAAATCAATGATTGCATCTCCCAACATATTTTAAGGGCCCCCAATCTGGATCAGGGTCATGGTGCTGGGGGAGGGTAGCCCTTCCACATGGACCTTTTCCCCATAAAGATTTGCACCTCCAAACTGCTATTAACCATGGGGGAAAGACAGGTACAATATGGTACAATTTTTCTCTGTTGATGGTCCCTTTGTGCCGCCAGAAAATCCCACTAGTTGGTATTCTAAGTAGGGCAAAATCTAAGACAGTGATCAGAGAAAGAAGTATGGTAGAAAAAAGGGGAAGCTATTATAAGGGACAACCTGTAGCCTTGTAGTTGGGTGGTTTGCTTTTAGCCAGGTTTATGATGGGAGAGGGGAGGGAATAATTAAGTATTTGTACATCTGTGCACTGGGAATATTTACATCATTTTTTTAAAAAAGCCAAACTCCTTGCTGGATACTGTTTCTAAACCACTTTTTTATAATGTTAAACAGGGGAGAGGCACCTCCAGCAGCACGTTACCCCCCAGACGTTTTCTAATGGTAAATATTTTTGTTCTCTATCTCTATGAGGAGTTTTAATTGTAGCTGCATTTTATATTTTGGAATATAACAACTGGGCATAGGGGCCTGTGCTGTTGTACTAACTGCATGCCTCACTTTGCATCATAGAAAATGGGGCAGAAGGGTCATTAAAAGGGGCACCTGTGCTTACTAACTATCTAATCTGCCCCCCAACCATTTCCAGCCTCCTTTTTTACAAGTCCACCCTTGTCATCTGCATGGTCCCAGGTATCAGCGATAAGTGAGTAGTCTGGGAACTGCCTGGCAAGTGAAGAAAGATTCATGCAGGCAATCAGGGCTATCCCATGAGGAACAGAATGTATATGACATATGGGGCTTCAAGTGGCTGCTTGCTTTGCTTGTGCTAACAGTGTATTCTTTGGCTCGAAATGATAATCACCAGTTTCAAGGGTAAGGGGCAGTGTGTGTTCTGTTATTTCTTCTATTTCTAAAGATGATGCCCAGGCTGTTCATTCCATCCAGGAGTTATCCAGAAGTTTGTCTCTGTGAGGTCTTTAACGTGTCATTGCCCCTGCAAGGCCAAAGCATTACTATGGCCATGGAGAACCAGGACAACAGAGGTTCGGTGACTTGTTTAAGACTAAACCAAGAATTTGTGGCAGAACAAAACTCAGAGCTTGCATGTCCTAAATCCATTTGGGAAACACTCTTCTGAATTCTCTTTCTAATTGCCACCATATACTGCAACAGTTATGGATTCTGAGCTATTTAATGAAAAAGTAGAGAGTAACTGCAAAAAGTGTTACCTGATCTTGTAGATAAGATGGGGCACTGAACTCTCGTGCTTGTAGCTCCCATGTTAAAGCCTAAGGAAGAGTGCAGGTAAAGTTGACCAACTGTGGAAGATATTCTATGGCTGTCTCCTAGTCCTTTCCTGCTGCTGTTTACTTGGTACTTGGTGGGAATGTACTTCACTGTGTGTGGCCCTGAAGTCTAGGCAGAGGCAAAGGGCTGGCTGACTGAAGTGCATCATTCCTCTGTTCTTTCATGAGGATACTCATACAGTTTAGAGAAGAAAAGCAAAACTGAGAGAAGTTCTGCCAAAAAGCTGCTTTCTGAAGTGCTGTCTCATTTTTGTAATGGGAAAACTGATGGGGGGACTTGGAGTCAAGCACTGGGATGAATTTGAAGCAGAATTTGGAATAAGGAAAAAGGACTCTTTATTTGTCATTCCCAGATGTTAAAGACAGCGTATGCAGAGATTAACAGTGCAATCCTAAACAGAGTTACACCTTTCTATGTCCACTGAAGTCAGTGGAGTTAGGAGGGTATAACTGCTTTGGGTTGCACTGACAAGAACTGTCTTCTTTACAGTTGAGCAAAACTATTTGAAATGGGGTAATGCCACAATCGGTGATAGACGGGTCACCTTTCTTTCTTTGGATATGCTGCATTGTTTTCTAAGGACTGTTTCTGGACTATGTTTTTTCTGGATAATTGTCACCCCTTTCATCATCTCTTGCTACTGTCTCTTACATCAGATCGGCACACTTCACACCACATATTATATCAATATGTCTAATTCTCAAGTGTGGCCCAATCTGTGGATACTTAAATTCAGAGACTGGAGCTATGAACGGACAAGACAGATCTTTCTACAAATCTAAAAAAAGCCCCAGGTATGCAGAAAAATCTGGAGTCTTCAAAGGGGGGGGCAACCCCCATAATAGAAGCAGCACCTATACCTTTAAGAAATGGATGCCATCTGAGATCTCAGTGGCCGTTGCTGGGGTTGCTAGGCAACCACAACAGTATTACCAGCCTTCAGACCTTGGTTCCTGTCAGTAAAAGGCAGGGAAAGGGACAGGGCCCTTTCCAGGGCTATTTTGGCCTCCCAGGCCATCCAGCTCCCCTCCTTCCTGTCCTGGAGGGAGGAGTCATGGAGGCCAGGCCCAGCAGCATCCGCCAGGCGACTTGGCTACCATGCAGTTTGCACAACTTTCCCAGGTGTGGTAGTGGCTGTGACTTGATGGCTCACAACATGTTTGGGCCCAGAGGCAGCCTCCACGAAACTTGAGCAGCTTGTCCAGGCCATGTGAGTGGCCACCATACACCCCACCTGAGTGACTTGCCACCACATGAATTTTGCAAGTTGGCCGGTCCTTTCCCATGGAGAGGCCGCCAGGGGAGGAAAGGAAAGAAAGCTGAGACCCAGTGTGGTGTAGTGGTTAAAGTGTCAGACTCTAGCCTTGAAGACTCAGGGTCAAATATCTACTCTGCCATGCAGCTTTCTAGGTGACCTTCAGCCAGTCGTACTTTTATGGCCTAATCTACCTCAGAAGGTTGTTCTGAGGATAAAGAGAAGAGAAGAATGATGTAAGCCACTTCGAGTCTGCATTGGGGAGAAGGGGGGATTATAAATGAAGTAATGATAATAAATAAAGGTGAAGGTGGGGGAGCAAATGAAATAAAGTTTGATTGGTGAGTGGGAAGGAAGTCGTGAAAGAAGAGAGGATATGGGGGCTGCCAGGAGGAGAGAAAAAGGAAATAGTGTGGGGAAGGGAATACAGGGAGAAATGAAGGGAGCCCCACAAGTCCTTGATGGTTTCCTTGCTTGTCATCACTATTTATGATTATTATTACTTGTGCACATTACTGCTTTTCTGTAATTCATGCTTTCATTATGCTGCTGTTGCTAGTGAGTGTTAGTTTCCAGTTCCTGATCTCATACGTACATTGCTGACTGCAACAGCTTTCTTTAGTATTCCAATAAATTCCTTCTCCTGCTGTTCCACTTGGATAACCACCTACCTGTTTTAATTGAAAAAAGAACTCTGCATTTCCTCCTTTGGGTTGGATGGATGCACTTTTGTTTGGTATAATGGTACCAATACAGCAACCACTTACATGATGAATGTACTTAAGGAGTACCTTGGGCCTGTCATGAAATCCCAATATCTGTCTGTCTATCTTTGTCTGTTTGGGGTCAGCAAACACAACAAAATCTTGAGCCCAGCTCTAAAACTACTTGGAGAGGAAATAATCCGCATACAAAAAAAGAGAGAGGATATATTTTATGTGTGTTCCTAACTCAGATTGACTGATGGCAGACAGTTCCTCCATTGCTGCCATGCAATTTTGATCTGCTGGAATGGGATGAAATCACAAGTTCCAAGACATTTTTAATGAAACTTTGTTGTAGCATTAAACATGAGATCTCTAAAGGAAAGCATTATAAATCATGCTAGGGAAATGCGTGGATGCAGAAACTGAGTGAAGATGGCAGGAATATGGCAAAATATGATCACTTTATCAGGGAACAGCCTCTTTGTATGACTTTGTATCAGAGGTCATTTCGGGGGGGAACGCGGGGGAACGCAGTTCCCCCGGGTGAGGTACGGGGGTGGGGCACACGACGAAGCCCCGCCCTCTGCTTCCGGCCGCCCCGCTTCCGGCCCTCATTCAGCCAGGAGGAGGCAGGAGAAGAGGGAGGATAAGTTGCTTCCTCCCCGCCTCTCCCCACACCTGCCTGCCTGGGGCCAGGGAGGGCCTTGGCGGGGCTTCCTCACACTCCCGCCGGCCTTGCAGGTCCACTCCCGGGCCTTATGATGTCAGGGGGTGTGGCATATGCTAATGAGTTATGCTAATGAGTTCCCCTAGCTCTTTTTCTACGAAATGACCCCTGCTTTGTATGACAAGGAACATCCTCTTTGTATGACTTGTATGACGTGGGCACTGTGGTGTATTGCTAGAGGAAAGACAATATGGAATACTCTGCATCATTCCCATATCTCTGCTTTTCATTTTGTTTATTATTTCTGCTGTGTGCCTAGGAATAAAACTCTTGCCTTCCTTATTCTGTCAATCTTCTATCTAGTATTATTAGAGTGAATGGCTAAGCTATCAGTATCTATCAGTATGCTGATGTTAATGATCAGAAACATTGCAAAACAGGAGCTGCAGCACTCTTGAGTACGTTTAGAAGATGTACAGGCAGTTATTTCATTGTCACCCTGTAACTTTGCACAGGCTGTTTCTGTTGCTGCAGTGGGTTTAAGAGTTTATAGAGCAATTTTGATTTAGTCTCGGACAAACCCTGGTATTGCCATTTTGCAGACAGGAAACTGAAATGAAGAGATACTGGGTTGGATCCTGCACAAAATCACCATGGACGGAAGAGTGGAGATTTGAACCCCAGTTTAACCACTACATTATTATTATCCTTGAAAACATTTGAGACAGAGCATTTAAGGGATGGGTGTGGAGGCAAACATGGATCAGGGTCTCAATAGCTTAGGGAGGTGTAGTATACCTGGAGGGGAAAGTAAACATGACATTCACAGACCTGCTTTGGGACTGTAGCGCTTTATGAATTTTTAAATGACACTCAGACATGGAGATAGGAATTTGCTGTCTGAAGTGGGAGCCTCACAGTTCTGCATGGGTAAGGCTTACTTGTCAATCCGCATTGCTTGTCTCTTTGTCTCTGGCAGCCCCAGTATTTATTCTTAGTGGTGTTCAAGCTTTGGAAACTCATTTGTTTCCTTATATGCTCTGTGGAATTGCTGTATGTTGGTGCCTTATATACTCTGTGGAATTGCGGTATGTTGGTAAAATGCTTCCCATATTCCATCCTGGAAGCCAGTGCTTCTCAGTAGTGAATGGAGTATCCATGTACTGATTGCAGGGGTTACTTCAGCTGATCTTAAAATAATGTTTAGAGGTTGAACCGTAGTTAATGTGGCTCTATTCTGAATCAGAGCCCCAGGCAGCTGCTATTTCCATTGAGAAAACATTGAGGAGATCTGATCTTATTTATTTAGTATATTTTTATCACATCCTTCCTACAAAGAACTCAGAATTGTTTCCCCATTCTCCATCTTTCCTCACCACAATCCTGTGAAGTTAGTAGTCAAAGAGTGACTGCCCGCCCCAAGGTGACCTAGCAAGCTTTTTGGTGGAGTGGGAATTTAAATCTGGGGTTCCCAGATCCTAGTATGATGCTGTAACTACTCATC